TAGCCAAACACTAAGTCTGACACCACATTCTCACCCTCGCACATCTCAAATCTTTCACCACAGCTTCTCCCTATAGGGTCCTAGCAGTCATTCCCAGATGTGGCTTCACACCGCAGTCACCCAGAGCTTTCAGCACTATTGAGAACATGGTTCAGCCCCAGAAATTTTGATTTCATTGGTCTGAGTTATAATCTGGGCATCATCAGGATTTTTTTTCAAACTCCCAGGTGATCCTAATGTGCAGCTAGAACTGAGAACCTTGACCTAGCATGATTTGGGGAAGGGAGAACCAGGATATGTACCAAAATACAACAAAAACGAGACAATCAAAACCAAAATGAAACCTCAGTTCAATGAGTTCCCAGGGCCCACCTTTCTCTCCACCCCTTTCTACCCAGTCCTCCCAGCACCATCCCAGGTCACACCCTCCTGCTTCACAGTGGAGTGCCCCTACTAGTTTCCCTGCCTACTGGGTCTCCCTGCCCCCTTTATCCTACTCCCTCTGATCCACCCGCCCACCACCACTGAATTAATCTCTCTGGCCTCTCCCTGCTCACTGAGCCCACACTGCTTAACTTAGTGGTCAAGGCTCTGCCCAGTCTGCTCTTAACTGTCTTTCCAGCTCTTATTTCTCACCACTATTCAAAAAGGAGCCTCACTTTTTTCTGATCAAACTGAATGGTCTATAATTCCCCAAACATACTTTATTCTGAACCTCAGACTCCTGGGAGATGGAAATAGAATCCAAATCACAACTCGCAGCTAGTGAAGAGGAGAAGGTGGATTGCAATTAGGTTTGGGGTGTGTCCAAAGTTCTCAACACCACTTGCTCCCTCATCTGCAAAGTCAGCCTCTCTCTCTCTCTCTCTCCCCCCCACCCTACCCCCAACTCCTATGGCACTTTTTATAAAACAGTATGACAAGACTCAGGTGATGAGTTTCCTGAGGCTCAAGACAAACAACACTGCACCCTGACCATACTCAGCAAAGACCTGGTGAAGAATGAGCTGCAGTGGGAGGATTTTTCTGCATTCACACAACCTAGTCCAATTGTAACAGGGTGGTCCCCAGGAAAGGGGGAGGTTCCCTGCCCCACCCAAGGGAGGGTGGAGCTGAGCAGGAAGAGGAGAAGCTGCAGAAGAGACTGAGGAAGGAAGCAGGATGGAGCCAGGAGACCTGGAGGAGGCGCATGGAGCCTAGAGACACCTAAAGAAACTGCACTTGTCTTTTGGTCATAGACTGGGTGACACAGATGTGGGTGAGACCCATGGGGAGGTGACAATGGCAGCTTTTATCTTGATTTTGCTCTTTTCCTTCCGGGCTTGTCTGGTTGTTTCTGACCCTTTTCTGTGGGTCCCCACTGGAAGATGCCTTAGACGTGTGGCAGGCTTTGGGGCCTTGCTCTGGGCCAATCCCATTTGGATGGACTTTTACCCACGAGGGGACGGGTAAATTTGGATGCTTCATTTAGAAACTAGACTCTTTGCCTTACCTGTATTGTTTTCTAGTTTTATTAAAGTTCCTTCCCATTAAAGTCTCATATGTTTTGTGTTGATGCGGCGGATGGCAGAACCCATTTAGAATAGGCAGGTTTGCGGGGTTTGGGCTGCCCCTCTCCCTGTCCTATGACACAATGAGAGATCCTTATTAATTTTGGACATGGAGACACCCTTACTCTACTCTGAGTATCTTGCCATACCATTCTGTTGCATCAATTCTTCCCTGTTCTATGTCATGCTACCAACCACCTACAAAACATTTTGTAACCTGGGAAGGGCTCTAGTGCTTGGTAACCATTACAAGATTTAAGAATAAACAAACTGTGATAAATAGAAATTACAAAAGGAAGAATAAGGGAAGTGTTCTTCTTTGGAAACTGAAATGCAAGGTTCAGGTCAAATTCCCCTTTCAGGTCTCCATGCATTGTCTCTCTTTTATGCTGAAAGGAACAAGGGTTGGCTATGAGGAACAAAGCGAGTAAGTATTAGCAAATATCAGGAAGAAGAAAGGCAAACAACTGGTCAGACAGCATTCTAGGAAATAAAAATACATTCTAGCTTACAAAAAATCACAAAAGGAACATGAAGCAGAAAAGAGAAATCAGGCCAAAATAGCAGCAGCCCCTATTTTGTCTTCTCTTGTGTCTCTGTGACAGGACTCCCACCCCTCGCTGCTTCTTTCCACACTGGTTCAGGTGGCACTCAGTGTGCAGTCCTCAGTGTGATTTGGAAAGGCTGAAGTACAAAGATGAAAATCACCCATTTCATTGAGCATATATCTGTGTCCTGGGACAAAGTAAAATTAGAAGTGAGTTGAAAGTAAATATAATGGGTCCTCCCTGGAGGCGCAAGGGTTTAAGACACAACCTATGAAGCTAACCACAGCCTCTGCAGCACGAGTTCGATCCCTGGCCAGCCAGGGAGCCACCCACATAGCACAGCAGACCTCTCCTGCCTCGCCCGCTGCTCGCCTCAGCAGTGTATTTCATTCAGTCTGTCTGTTCTGTTCCCCACTCTGTCTCTGGTAAATCCTCTCACCCCAACACCTCTGGCCTGTACCCCAGTTCTTGTATGCACAAATAAATAAATCTTTAAAAAATAAATAAAGTAAATATAATGGAGCGGGGGTAGGGGGTTGGGGGGGTGAAGACTTCCCCTATTGCCCACTTCCCTGCTCACCCTCTTCCTTGCTGCTCCCCGTAGAAGTTACTAAAATGATGGGTCATTGTCTTGGAATTCAAATGAACCAACAAGGGTGGCCAAGTTCAACTCCCTGTAACCCAGGAAGTAGAGGAAGCAGGGAAGAAGGGGCTCCCCTCTCCTAGCCAACACCCTATTCACACTCTACAACAACCACCTTATTGCTGTAATGAATCATAAAAGAACCATAAATTCTACCAACATGACTTTTTGAGAGCCTACTACATATACAATGGTTCTAGGTAATTTTTTTGTAAATAGTTTCGCCATATGTCATTCTGCAGCAAGCAGTCTCATCCCATAACTAGTTGGTTATACAGAAACTTTGCCATAAAAGAGAAGAGAATTGACACTGGTTGACAGTTTGGTTTCATTTCTCTAATAACAAAACAAGACACTAACTCTTTGCAAATTGATCAATTTTTTTTGGTGTAGTAAGAAGTATGCAATCTGGCTTTCCACTCTCTGATATCACATTTGTAGTAAATTTGATCACTGAAAAAATAAAAGAAAAAGAGAGAAGTACAATGAATGAACAAATAAAAGACTTGGAAGACAAGTTCTTAGGTACAATCCACAAAAGAAAGTCAGTTCTTTGTACAATATTGCCATGAATCTATGCAACTTTTAAATACATTTTCAGTATTTTGTTATTAATTTTCATGTTTCAAGATGTCCTTTTGAATGTCCCTTGATGGTAAAATTGCCTTTTGACCAATTAGTTATGTGGTAAAAATATTTGCAGCAAGACAATGAAGATGCCTGCAGTGAAATGACCAGAAACAGTGCTGGGTGCTGTGCTAGAGCCCGGATTCCAAAAAAGGGCAAAATGGGGAAGAAGACATTAGCTCCTACTCTTGAGTAATTTAGTCTAATGGGAGAGGCAAAAACAACTTTCTACAGTGTTACACATCCTATAGTGTCACATAAAGCATGAGTTCAAGAGTCTGGAAATAAAAGAGCCTGTGAGAGCAGAATTGGGGTAAAGGAAAGTTTTTTTTAAGAAATAAGATCAAACCAAGGGCTGATGAATATATAGGAGTTAACCAGGCCTAGAAGCTGAAGAAGGTGTTCGTGCAGACAACCACCGGAACTAAGCCCAGGAGACGGCACCATCCCTCACTCAAACCAACAAAGCTCCAAAGCCACGCTGGCCTGCAGAGCACTGCTACATGCAAAGACCTCTTCTTTGAAGAAGTAAACAGTAAAAAATAAAAACAGAAACAAAAAAAAATTCTTTAGAATGGTGTTGGGTAAAGCAAAGTGTTTACATCCTAATCTCCACAGATGGGATCACGGCCCAGGTGGCCTCTCAGTCACAAAGCTGGTGTTTACCTCTAAACCACCTGAAACAGGTGGAAAACAAGCAAAATAGCACATCCATGACTATGTTGTGTAAATTTCTAACCATACACTCATTAAGAGATGAAATCATAAGTGATACAAATCCATAGAGGGTGGACCCTTTCCAGGTCAGGTAGACAGAGAATTGGTTTTGGGCCCCGCTCTCATTTCTATGACTGTCTGTGAAATGGTTGCTACCAATGTGAACTCTGGCCTAGACCATCTACTACACATACAACTTATATTAGTCAAAGTTCTTTACCTGCAGAGGTGAGCTGTGGAAACACTTTGCTAAAATCTTGACCACTCATTTTGTTTCAGGAGTCTGGTTATTTGGAGAGGAACCAATGTATTGGAGAGCTGGGTATTTATTAATTTAAGTGGCATAAAGATGTAAGGGCTGGGCTAGAGAGTGCTGAATTTACAGGTGCCTGCAGGCATGCCTGTCGTGGGCTCCGCTATAAGAAGAGTTTGTACTCCTGGCCTTTAAGTTTCCTTGTTCTATGCCTTAGTTTATCCATCTGACAATGACAACTATAAAATCTGTCCCTAAATTCCTACTTAGAGGAAATAAATAACTCCTCATGCAGCAACTTGAGTACAGCCACAATTTCTAGATCACAGGTTCGGAGAAACCAGACAACCTTTGCCTAGAGCAGTGAACCTGAAGAGACAAAGATAGCATTGGCTGTTCAATCAACTTTTCATTGGCCAAACATTAACTAATTCCTCCTATGTGCACAGAATAGTCAAATCTAATACTCATTGTTTATCATTGTATTCTAGTCTCTTTCCACATTCTTTCTGTGTAACTAATAGATAAGAGAAACTGGCCAAGTTAACACAGCAGTGCGAACTGTGCTCATTCATGACTGTGTCTTAACCCAGCTCTGCCAGTGGGAAATGTGGAATAAAGCCAATGACTAGGAAAGAAGCAGAATTCTGTGTTCAACTCACCTGGGGATGCTAGTCAGGTAGGTCATGACGTTCAGGAAGTCCTCTTCTTGGATATGTTTGAACCCCACAAACTCTGGAAAAGTGATGATGGGAGCACCATCCTTTCCCCGACCTCCTACAACAAAATGGTGGTCAAGATGTTAGCAAAATGTTTTCATGTCATACCTCTGCATATAAGGGACTTTGGTATCAAGCTGTAAGATGTATATTGGCCTCCCCCTTTTCTGTATTATTTTATATTACTTTAGACTAGAATTTTGGAAGGTTGACAGTGAATTATTTTGAACAAGCCTCTCTTTTTCTTCATGCCTGTTCAGTGGTATTATGAGAATTCAATTTCTGAAAACTTTGAAGATAGTTACTATATAAAAGATAATAGTCACTAAGTTATTTTAGCATAAGGAGAATAGTAAATAATGCCAACACAAATAAATAATGTTGCACTTCACTTTTGTAACCAGTAAGTATCAAATGTAAAACAGCATGGGGTTTGGGCCTCCCTGGTGGCGCAAGGGGTTAAGTCTCACACTATGAAGCTATCAGCAGTCACTGCAGCACGAGTTGTATCCCCGGCCAGGGAGCTACCCACATGGCACAGTAGACTTCTCCTGTCTCACCCGCTGCTCCCCTCAGCAGTGTATTTCAGTCAATCTGCCAGTCCTGCTCCCCACTCTGGTGATTCCTCTCATCCCAACCCCTGCCCCTCTAGCCTACACCCCAGCTCTTATATGCATAAATAAATAAAATAAATCTTTTAAAAACAACAACACGGGGGTTAAGAGAGTTAACCCTAAAATCAGACAAGTTGGTTCAAATCCTGCTTTGTCAGTTAATTGCTATGTGATTTTTGGCATGATATTTACAGAAATAGGATATTAAGAATATCACTTGTACCTACCTCAAAAGGTATTGTAAGAATTAAGTGAGAACATATATGAAAAACACCTTAACAGAGTGCTTAGTAAATATACATGCTCCATAAATGACAATAGTTAGTATAATTATTACAAGGAGGCAATAATCAGCTGTCCTTGGGAATTTATAGATAGGAATATAACATATCCCCATAAGAATAAAACTATAAAAATTAGTATTTTTTAATTCATTGGAGCAGAAGTCACCCAGATTAAATTAAATGCATTCTATTTCCAAGCCTCCTTGTTAGTTGTAGCCACATGACTAAGTTCTTTTTTTTTAAGATTTTTTATTTATACAATAGCAGGGGTACAGGCCAGAGGCGCAGGAGGGTGAGAGGATTCACCAGAGACAGAATGGGGAGCAGAAAAGGCAGATGGACCGAAAGCACTGCTGAGGGAAGCAGCGGGCGAGACAGGAGAGGCCTGCCGCACCATGTGGGAATCTCCCTGGCAGGCCGGGAATCGAACCCGCGCTGCAGAGGCTGCAGACAGCTTCACAGTGTTGCACTCAACCCGCTGTGCCACCTGGGAGGCCCAACACATGACTAAGTTCTATACCACAATTCCCAAATGTGTGCACAATGAATATTTTTAATTTTGATTGAAACAATAATGGGCATCTCTCAGATGCTATGCATGCTGCTAGCTTGAGGGAGTTCATGAAGTCAAGGTTAAATTACACCCTTTGAATGACTTTGCATCTTTGTGCAACTGGGCTTTTGATGGCTGCTGGAGTAAAAAGCAATACAGTATGCAAATCAAGTGGAACAGGAAGTGATATCTAGTCTGGTTCCAAGGCCTAAAATAATTATAGTTAGAATAAAATGAAAGTATTAATTTGTCCTTCAATTATTGAATATTTACTTTTCCAAACAGCTATTAAGTCATTAGCATGGACAGACTCATTGTTTTAACTTTTTTTTTTAAAGATTTATTTATTTATGCTATAAGAACTGGGGTGTAGGCCAGAGGTGTGGGGGAGTGAGAGGATTCACCAGAGACAGAGTGGGGAGCAGAACAGGCGGATTTACTGAAATATACTGCTGAGAGGAGCAGCGGGCGAGCCAGGAGAGGTCTGCTGCACCATGTGGGTCACCTCCCTGGCCGGGGGTTGAACTTTTGCTTCAGTGGCTGCAGACAGCTTCATAGTGCTGCGTCCTAACCCCTTGTGCCACCAGGGTGGCCCCTCATTGTTTTAACTTTTGTCCAAAAATGGTCATGGAAAAATACAGGAATTGAAACAACTATGGAACTGTAACAGGGTGGTCCCCAGGAAAGGGGGAGGTTCCAGGTTCCCTGCCCCACCCAAGGAAGGGTGAAGCTGAGCAGGAAGAGAAGCGGCAGAAGAGACTGAGGAAGGAAGCAGGATGGAGCCTAGAGACACGTGAAGAAACTGCGCTTGTCTTTTGGTCGTGGACTGAGTGACACAGACGTGGGTGAGACCTGTGGGGAGGTGACAATGGCAGCTTTTATCTTGATTTTGATTTTGCTCTTTTCCTTCCGGGCTTGTCCGGTTGTTTCTGACCCTTTTCTGTGGGTCCCCACTGGAAGATGCTTTAGACTTGGGGCAGGCTTTGGGGCCTTGTTCTGCGCCATTCCCATATGGATGGACTTTTACTCACGAGGGGACGGGTAACTTTGGGTGCTTCATTTAGAAACTAGATTCTTTGCCTTTCCTGTATTGTTTCCTAATTAAAGTTCCTTCCCATTAAAGTCTCATGTGTTTTGTGTTGATGCGGCGGATGGCAGAACCCATTTAGAATAGGCAGGTTTGCAGGGTTTGGGCTGCCCCTCTCCCTGCCCTATAACAGAACCAGTGCCCCAGCCGATGCATATGAGCTGCAAAGGGCTTCCTTCCAGATTCCATCTGTGGCACAGGCCACCTACAAATGATTACATGTATTTCTCTTAAATAGAGAGGCACTAGTTTGGGGTATAGTATAACGAGGACTGTGAGATTAATGAGGGTGTGGGATCAGTGAAAAAATTACAAAAAAGAGATACTCAGAGCAACAAAGGTGGCAGCACTAAAGGAGAGGGTGCTGGCCCTCCAGAGAATGCCCCCAGGCTACCTGCTGACACCAGCACTGAGATCATCCAGGCCTCTCTCCTCTACTGTCCCACCTGATGAACTTCTGCTCACACACACTGACTTTCCATGTAAATTTATTTCAAAGGAGAGACCGTCTCACAGAGCAAGCAGGAGAATCTGTATCACAAAAGAGTAAGGGATTGTTCATGGGAGTTGTTGGCTCTCAGAGACCAGTTACTATAGAACAAAACTGTGAGATTTATCCTGACGGCTGACCAGTGTTTTTCCAGGAAGTGCCCTTTATTAGTCCTGTGTGATAATCTTCGATTAAAAAAAAAAAACTATGGATTAGGTGCTTGTCAGACTTTACCAGGACACTGATCCACCTCATTATGTTCACTGAAAACAATTAAAATCGGGATACTATTAATTTTCATATATACTTCTCTACAGTTTCACAACTATATAGGAAGTTTCAGAGACATGTGAATTAAGAGAACTTACATCTCTGGTAAAGTTAAATTTAGAAGCATTATAATGCTGTGTTAATTGTATAACCAATATTTGTCAAGAGATGGTTATTTCAAATAATCAAAGCACCCAAAAACATTCACTAGGAGGGCCTCCCTGATGGCACAAGGGGTTAAAACGCAGCACTATGAAGCTATCCAGAGCCACTGCAGCATGAGTTCAATCCCTGGCCAGGGAGGTGACCCTCATGGCGCAGCAGACCTCTCCTGTCTCGCCCACTGCTCCCCTCAGCAGTGTATTTCAGTCCATCTGCCTGCTCTGTTCCCCACTCTGTCTCTGGTGAATCCTCTCACCCGCCACACCTCTGGCCTGTACCCCAGTTATTTTATGCATAAATAAATCTTTTTTTAAAAAATTCACTAGTATATGTTATATCATTAACTGATCATGCCAGTTATCATTAATTGTAAACTAAAATTATTCACATTTAAATGGAGAAAGCTAAGTGATATTTTCTTGTACTTTGGTTAATACCAATACTGACCAACAGAGAGACCCCCGATATTAATGGGGACACTATCTGATGCTGAATCAGTCTGAAGAGGCAGAAGTACCCATGAAACAAAGCTGGATCCACATACAACCATGGACAACCCAGAACACAGCAGTCAGTGCCACCTTGTGAAGAAAGGTGGAAATGCAAATCAAAGAAAGAAAAATTATGCCAACGTCCTATTCAAGGAAGATAAAGAAAACCAAACTATTGGAACTAAGCAACATGGTGACTTAAATAAAGTAAACATCACTCCTGCTAGTATGATTTTACCTTTTCATTAAATGGAAGAGAACTAGATTTACTAGTTACTGTGTCACAGAAAACACAATTAAATGTTGGGGTTCCTAAAACTCCAGCAAGAGTCTGGGTGAAGACTTCTGGGGTCCTGGGAAATCTTACAGGGAGAAGGTGAAGACCAGCAGTGGGAGAGATAGTGAAGCAACTACTACTATTTGCTTCCCAGTACCCCTTTTTCTTTCCCATAAGATGATTTTATCTAGGAAAATGACAGTACCACTCCCTGGGGTGGGGGGCATTTTGGAAACCTCAGGGACCTGCGTTGTTACTTATCTGTGTGATTCCAAGTATCTTAGCAGAGGCTTACTAGAAATGAAAAAATCCATTTATGGTGATTTAATCCCATACTCTAACTAACTTTCACCTATAAAGTACTTTTTCAGTTTTATTGAGCTACAGTTGCCATAACATTGTATTGTTTTAAGGTGTGTGACAGTAGCAATGTGATACATGTATTTATTGAGAAATGATTACCACAATAAATGTAAACATCTACCAGTTCACATAGTTGGTTTTCTTTTTTTTTTGTAGTGAGAACTTCTGCAACTTACTCTCTTAGCAACCTTCAAATATACAATACAGTATTGTGAATTGCTTACCACACATCACATGATATGCCCAGAGATTATCTATCTTCTTCTTGGCAGTTTGTATGTTTTGAACACCTTCACCCATTTCCCCCACCCTCCCACTGCTCACCCCCCCACCTCTTGAAACCACTAATCTGATCTGAGTCTACAGTATTTGTCTTTCTCTGACTTATTTCATTTAACATAACAACCTCAAGGTCCATCCAAACTGTCAAAATTCACCAAGTATTTTTAGATGATTTCAATATAGACTAAATTTTTCAAGAATGCAACAACCCTATTTATTGAGGAAAGATAACACTTTGTTCAGAACTTAACCAACAATTGTTTACTATTTTTAAAAAATCACAACAGTTAGGTTTTGGGGAATCTGATTACCCATGGGGCACCTCAACCTTTGCACACATCATGTTCATGGCAACCCCAGGTATAGAGACCAACATCGAACTACATAATTATTTCTTCCAGTATATCTAGAAATACATATTTGTGACTTTGTGATTAATAGGAAAAAAATTTTTAAGATGACCAAAATAAATTTGTCATCCATCTTTGCTCTTCATTCAAAGTTCCTTTCTCAAAGTCCCTGGGGAATTTTCTAAGTACAGGGAATGAGGAAGGTAACTTCTGTTATGTTAATGAAGGCAAATTTGGGGAAATGCCTGAGGTTGGGGTCTGGTTGTCAGGGAAATAAACAAAATAGAAGGTGGGGTTTTCCACTCCATTCTTCACATTTATTTTTTTAAGCCTACACATAACTAGGGGGTGGGCACAAGCTAACCACACTTCCCAACTTCCATTCTGTTAAGTGCATCTTAATATCTAACTGATCCTGGTTCAAGTCAAAGGAAAGTGGCATGTGCTGTCAATGAGCTGAGATTTTCAGGAAGTAGATGGTCTCTTTCCCTGTCTGCTACTTGAACACAGGTAATAAAAAGGCCGCGTTTTGGTAATAATGAGAGTCACAATAGAAAGAAGCCTTCTTTCCTGAAACTTCATCTGGAGATAACAAATAACCACAGTAATGTTCATGAACCCTTAAAAACAAGGCTTTCTAAAGGTTGGCTCTTGGAAGACCATTGAACAAGAACATTGAAAGAACATCATGGCTGTGGTTGATGTCAGTAGTAATTTCTTTTTACTCCTCAAAATCTTTTCAGCTCCGTTCTTTATCACTTCAAATGTACTTAGAAAATACTAAATTGCACCCAACAGCAAGTGACACCTATAGGATCCCACCCTCCTCCAGAGGAACATTCCTCAGTTCATTCTATCCTGGTTGGGGCTTACAGGGTGACCAAGCTTTAATATAATGTTCATCAAGGTAAAAGGAGTTAGGCTGTCTCAGCAGGACCTCACAACAAAATCTGGAAACGTAAAAAAATTTGCACCTTACCTGAAAGAATGGCAAATTGTCTATGAAGTTGTTCAATTATATCCACTGCCCCCAAGGGTCTGACTTCCTGCTGCATAATTTCATCTGCACAAAAGAAAATATAAGTTAGGTTAAATCCTTGCAAATTACAAAAAGGAATTAAAAGGCAGAAAAGAAAATTCCATACTAGGGAAATCTGAGTCCTGTCAAAACAGTCATGGATACACACTGCTCTCCTGAGAGCCTGATTCCTGAGATGCATGAATGGATGCAGGTTTTGTGTAGTGTGAAGCCCATACACATGAGCGCGGGGCACAATTCCTGAGCTTCTCTCAAGGTCTGAGAGGGATCAATGCAAAGAAGGGGCCCTGATGTTTAAGCTTCAGTAGCTTTGAAGTAAACCTGTTGGGTTGCTCTTATTACCAAAGCAGGCACTTAGGAGTCTGCCTACTCTTTTGGGTGGGCAGAGGACATAAGCTACCAGGGTTCATCTCAAGCTTGGCTTTAATTAATCTAGGGTTTATGAAAGTTCTCTGATTTTTGTTGCTCTCCCTCACTTCTTTCCTTTTGCCTCCCTCCTTAAGTCACCTCCACTCTTTTTCATTCCTTCCAGATTACTGCAAAGAGCCTCTTCCCCCTGCCAAGCATATTTAAGGAGGCATTTCGCCATTTTGCAATTTAAAGATGCTCCATACTGAGGGCCTCGACTGGTGGCGCAGGCAGTTGAGTGCTGTGCTGTGAAGCTGTCTTTCCAGGAATAGAGGACTTTTGCTTTCCACAATAGACAAATACCTGGAGGGACTGGTTTTCTTTCACACTGGAACCTGGTAAAAAAATGTTCATCTGAGACTGCATCCCAACATCCATATATTCGATCTTCATCACCATGGAAATGGTGGCAAAAAGTGAAAGGGGGGAATTGTTAGGGGGAAAAGGATGTCCTAAAGCTAATTCCATACAGGCTTTGTGGACTCCACCCCCACCCCAGGCCAAAGCCAAAGACACTGGGAACTCCAAATCCCATCACCACCAAAGGGAAGGTGGCTGGGACCTGAGGGTGGGGTTAAGCAGCCAAGTTGGTATAAAGCCAGACACGTGGGCTTTGGAGGGGTCCCCCATTTTGGCTCTCCACCAGCTCGCAGCGTCCGGCCAGCTCTGAGAGTGCTTTTTGGGTTTCCAGGTCGGCGGATCAGGTAGGATGCATTAAAGACTTTATTTCCCTATTTTCTCCCTGAGTTGTACATTTTCCTTATTTCCTTTTCCCTTATAAATAAACCTTTTATTAACCTTTTGTGTATGCCTGTAGTGGAGTATTAATAAGTTCCTTGTAAGCGCGCGGGTGAGGAACCACAGCCAGGCAACCCGTTCAATATCGGGGCTGCCCTATAACATCTGCAGTGCCAGTTCGATTCTGGCTGGCTGGCGAGGGTCCCACATGGCATGACAGACCTCTCCTGTCTCGCTTGCTGCTCCCCTCAGCAGTGTATTTTGTCAGTCTGCCTGTTCTGTTCCCTGCTCTGTCTCTTGTGAATCCTCTCGCCCTCCCTCGCATCTGGTCTGTACCCCAGTTCTTGTATAAAATAAATAATAAAAATAAATAAATAAAAATAAAGATGCTCCACACTGAAGAAATGGTTACAGGTTTCCAAGGCAAAAATTCACAGCTTTCAAGCACAAACCTATAAATGTCCTCTAACCCTAACAAGTGATTTATATAAGCCTTAAGATTTACACTTTATCTACTTAGGGATAGAATAGTTTGGACAAGCCTATTTATATGCATTGCTCTGGACCAGCCTTTCCCATACTTGCTTTCTGAAAGTCATGTAGAAAGCAGGGCCATCTTAAGCCCCAAGACCCTTGTCAATGAATTCTCCTTTTTTCTTTTTTTAATGGAGGAAAAGGGGTAATCCCGTCAAAACTAATAGTGAGAGCTCCTTTATCCCAATTCAAAGAACCCCAAGATGCCAGGCTAAAGGTAAGGGAAAGTATGTTCTGGACCAAAGAGGGAGGGCAACCCCACATTTTATAAGCCTGCCACATGTCTACTTGGCCAGAAAATCTGAAGGACAGAAAGAATGGAACTTGGAATAGGACCAGGATCTCTACACTGTTAATAGTGTTAATAACACTAATGAGAGCACAACAAGAGCCTGTCCCAGCGTGGCACTTTATAGACTAACTCATGTCTTTAGTTAGACATGACAGAGAAGGAATGAGTCCGAGCACTAAAGTGAACCACTTCCAGCCCATCCCACCCTCCCTCACAACTAGACCAACTCGACAGTTAGGACAACACTGTGCTTCAAAAGCTGTAAGTGATCAGTTTGTTGGGCTGGTACAGAAAGCCACCCAGTGGGGTCATGCTCTGTGTTGTTTCTCTTCCTTATTGACCAGGCCAGAAATTAAATAAACCCACATTTCCTTCTTTTATTGGGTCTGTGATTAACCTGAAGCATAAGACTTCTTATTGAAGGCTTGCCCACAAACTAACAAGGTATAAAAGACATTTGAAAAGCAGATGATTTTTTAAAATCAAGAACATTGAAAAATGTTAACTTCCCTATAATCTAGTAATGCAATTAAAACAGAAATAGAATTTCCCATTTCATTCACAAAATAATTGAAATTCTCACACACAATGTTGGGTTATGTTAGAAAACTAGTACTTCTGCATAACTTCAAGGAGTGAAGCTACTAGGCTCCTCTTAAACAGTAATTCCCCAATATTTTACCCAGTGAAATTGTTGTGTGGATTACATAACAACACTCTTCACATATTATCTCATTCAATCTTCAAGAGTAATATTGAACTAGAGTTACAGTAGCTTGTCCAAGGTCAAACAGAGACAGCGTTTGTTATTGTTTTTGTTTTTAATTTTTTACATCATTGTTCATTTTTAAACAATATTTGCTTCCCCCCCACCCCGTAGTCCCCATAGAATTTCCTTCCTCAAGGCACCCGTGCACCATCATCACAGTCCCCTATGCTCCTCCCTCCCTCTGATCCCTCTCCCTCCTCCTCCTCTACAATATGTCTCTGGTTTATAATGTCTGTTTTTGCAGAGCCAGCATTTGAATCCAGCTCATCTAGATCTCCAAAGCCCAACATATTAATAGAGCTTAACACAGAGCTTCAATATGTAGTCATTAAATCCTCATAATCTTTCACCTACTCATCCTATATCTGGAAATTTATCCCAATAAAATAATAACATAAAAGTTTCATACATAAAAATAAAGACTGCAATATTATTTATAAGGCTGAAAAAATTGGAGGCAATCATTATGAAATTGTAAAAATTATGTCCATTGAGAAAGATTTAGATATAACATTAAGGACATCAAAATCATATGTATGGTGGGATTGTAGCTAGGTTTTTAAAAAAAAAAAAGAAAGAAAGCATCTGGTGTGTTTTTGCACATGTGTGCAAATATATGAGATGGTTATGCTAAAGTGATAGGGTCATATGTGGTTACCCCTCAGTTTACACAGAAAAAAGTATGCTCTGGTAACCTTTTGTTTTTAGTACTAACATTACTTTATTGAAGTATAATTTACATGTACTATGCACAAATGTTAATTATACAGTTTGATGAATTTTGACAAACATATATTGATATAACATGAAACACATCAAGATTGGAACATTTCCATCACTCCAGAAAGTTTCCTTATGACCCCTGTCCCAGGCCTCACACTTTTCACAATCCCCTTCCCACAAATAAATATATTAAAAACTATATGGGGGACCTCCCTGGGAGTGCAAGGGGTTAAGTCTCAGCACTATGAAGCTATCAGCAGCCAGTACATGAGTTCAATCCCCAGCCAGGAAGGTAACCCACATGGCCAGCAGACCTCTCCTGTCTACCTGTTTCTTCCCTCAGCAGTGTATTTCAGTCAATCTGCCTGTTCTGTTCCCCGCTCTGTCTCTGGTGAATCTTCTCACCCCCCCACCCCCCGCACCTCTGGCCTATACCCCAGCTCTTGTATGCATAAATAAATAAATCTTTAAAAGAAATGTGGCTTTTGATCAGAGCTCAATGCTGGCAGGGGCACTGTTGCCCTAAATAGCTATTCTCTTAATACCATGTAGGCCCCAAGGAAATCTCTGGTCCATGTCCTCAAAAGAAAAGACGACCACATCCAAATGCTACGATGTTTTGTGGGCTGTGCCACTGATGACATCAGGGGCCGATGCAGCTTCAGATTGCTGGGAGGATTTGAGCCGTGGAAGTGCTTGGTGAGAGAAAAGACAAATTAATTACCTTGTCAAATCCTTCCTCTCACATGGTATAAGTGCTGTAGAAATCTTATGTAATGAAACATCCTGTCTAGTACTACCAAGCATCAGCATTCTTATTTCTTTTTTTTCCTTCAATTCACAATGCAAATTGTATTTAAATTTTGAGCTCGCTGCCATAATTGACATTTTACTTAGATCAGATTGACTTCATATCACTGCTCTTAAAAGATCTCAAATTATGTGAAAATCTCCATTATGACAATAGTGCTTTTGCTGACAGGAAGCCAAAAAAAAAATTACAGATTAACTAACAAATTAGAGATCATATATCTTTATTTTAAATAAATACTGTCCCATCAGCCGAATTGTGGTAATTTAATCTAGTCATCTTTGATATTTTCTTTGATATGTTCTTATGAAGGTGTATTTGTTAAGATAGTAGATAGAATGTGTTTTATTTAACTGTGGCACATGGGCTTCTATTTGTACTTACCCCAGACTCTGCAAATATATCCATTTAAAATTGCTTTGAGGGCCTCCCTGGTGGTACAGGGGTTAAAGTCTCAGGGCTATCATATCCCCAGCCACATGGCAAAACGGACCTCTCCTGTCTTGACTGCCCACTGCGCTGCCCATCTCAGCAGTGTATTTCAGTGGACCTACCTGTTGCTCTGCTACCCATTATGTCTTTGGTGAATCCTCTTACCACCTGCACCTCTGGCATACCCCCCAGTTTTGTATGCATAAATAAATAAATAAATAAATTTTTAAGTCTTAAAAAAAAAAAAGTGCTTTGAGACTTGCTAAGACATCACCAGGCATAAGCAATTCTGTCCTGGACTACTTATCCAAAAGCTA